TCATGCTATGTATGCTGTTGTTGACTCTAGTGTTTCTGACTCTGTTTACTCTGGTGTTGTTAGCTTTGGTGCTAGTCTTGCTCAGTTGCCTGTTGCTAGTGTAGGTTCTTGTGTAGACTCTAGACCAGCGACTACCTCAGAGGACGCTTCGCTGTCGTTCACGCTGGACTCTGGAGCCTCACACTGCTTCTTCCGGGACAGCACGACACTTACACCACTTCCTGCGCCTGTTTCTGTGGCTTTGGCTGATCCCACTACGGGACCAGTCACTGCACGTCACACTACCACTTTACCGTGTCCTGCTGCTCCCTCCGGGTCTCTCACTGGGTTTCACGTCCCCTCGTTCTCCCGGAACTTGGTGGGCGTGCGACCCCTCGTGAGTCAGCACGTGGGTGTGTGGTTTGAGCCTTCTGGAGAGACTGCGGTGTGTGTTGACGGAGACTCTTACCAGCCTCTTGCTACCTTTACTGCTGAGCCGGGCTCAGGTCTCTACACTCTTCACACTGGCCCGCGTGCGCCGCAGCAGCAGCCGCAGCAGCAGCAGCAGCCGCAGCCGCAGTAGCAGCAGCAGCAGCAGCTGCTGCACCAGCGGTCGCACCAGCAGCCGCCCCTACTGCCACTGCCCCCGGTTCCCCCCCCCGTTCGGGTCCCCGCGTCTCACCAGGTTGCTTCGTCCCCCCAGGTGTCTGTGTCGTGTCAGGTTCCTACGTCTGCTCCAGTCGCTGCGTCGTGCTCCTGCCGGTCGCTTGCCCACCCCACCGTTCTGTGGCACCACCGGATGGGGCACCCGTCCCTTCCTCGTCTGCGCGCTATGTCTAGTCAGCGTCTTGTCCTAGGCCTCCCACGTGTCTTGCCGTCGCTGCCGCCTTCGCTTGCGCCGCCGTGTGGTCCCTGCGTCGAGGGTCGGCTGCGCGCCGCCCCTCACTCCTCCTCCCTTCGTCCGGCCACCGAGCCTTTTGAGACGCTTCACTTGGACGTCTGGGGCCCCGCCCCTCGTCTAGGCCCTGAGCGTGAGCGCTACTTTCTGGTGGTCGTTGACGACTTCTCCCGCTACACCACAGTGTTCCCTCTGGCGAAGAAGTCTGAGGTGACTTCTACGCTGATCAGGTGGTTGCTCACCACCGAGGACACTCGTGGTCGTCGTGTCAGCTGCCTCCACTCCGACCGTGGGGGTGAGTTTCGCTCCGGCATTCTCGCTGGATTCTGTCGCGAGCAGGGCATTCGTCAGTCCTGGACGCTTCCAGAGTCCCCACAGCAGAATGGGGTTGCTGAGCGCCGCATAGGCCTGGTCATGGAGATCGCCCGCACCTCCCTGACTCACGCCTGTGCCCCCCTTTTTCTGTGGCCCTACGCGGTCAGGTACGCCGCGCACCAGCTGAACCTCTGGCCACGTGTCTCTCGACCAGAGGTTTCACCGACAAGTCTTTGGACAGGGTCCCCTGGTGTTGCGTCGCGGTTTCGTGTCTGGGGGTGCTTGGCTCTTGTCCGCGACACCTCCGCGGACAAGCTCTCGCCTCGTGCCGTCCCCTGTGTCTTCCTTGGTTTCCCTGAGGACTCCTCTGACTTCACCTTTTACCACCCTCCCTCTCACCGGTTCTTTGACTCCCGTGACGTCTGTTTCGAGGAGTCCACTCCGTACTACGTCAGGTACCCCAGTCGAGGTCTCCAGGTTCCTCCTCCCCCCCTCTTCCTGACTGCCGCTCCCCCTCCTGTTCCCCCGGTACAGCCTCCCCCCCCTGGTCCAGCCCCGTCGGGTGTGTCCCACGCTACCCCTCCTCCTTCGGTAGCCTCTCCGGTACATCCTCCCTCCCCACAGTCCTCCTCGCAGCGTGCCGCAGGTGCTAGCTCTTGAGAGGTTGGTGCTGCGCCTGTTCCTGTACCGGTTTCTGGTTCTGGGGGTGGTGGAGTTGGAGCTGGAGTTGGAGCTGGAGTTGGAGCTGGAGTTGGCACTGGAGTTTCTGGTTCTGGGGGTGCTGGGGTTGGAGCTGGAGTTGGAGCTGGAGTTTCTGATTCTGGAGTTGGAGCTGACCCGGTGGGTGCAGAGGACTCTTGTCGTCCGGGAGCTGGTGCTGGTCGCGCGGACACTGGGGGTGAGAGTGCGCCTCCTTCGGGTTCTGGCGAGCCTGGGTCTGGAGCTGGTGTTAGTGCTGCCTCTAGGGGTGGTGCGCCTGATTCTTCGGGGGTGGACTCTGGAGCTACCGCTGCTTCGGACACTACTCCGCCCCCCCACCCCTACCCGACTAGGCACCAGGCTCGTGTTCGCCGTGCCCGTGACGAGCAGCTGGCGTTGGAGAGAGAGGAGAGGGAGTTACAGCGGCTGGAGGAGCAGCAGCAGCAGCTGGACCCGCAGGAGCAGCAGTCCCAGCAGCAGCCGCTTCCGCAGCAGCAGCAGTCGCAGCAGCAGCAGGAGCAGCCACTTCCTCCTCCTGTCTCGGGTCTTCGGACCCTTGGTCTCCCCTCCCCTTCTCCTCCCTCCTCCGCCTCTCCTCCTGTCTACGGTCCCACGTTTCCTCCGCCTGACTCCTCCCCCTCTGTTTTCTCCAGTTCTCCGCCTTTGTCCTCTCCTCCTCCGTCTTGTTCTTGGGCTACTCGTCGCTCCCCTCGTGCTCGTCACTCGTCTCCTGTTCCCTTCACTGACCTTCGTACTGCCTTACTTTGTTCTAGTCCACCTCGTCCGTCTCAGTCTGTGCTTCCGTCTCCTCCTGAGTCGGCCCTGACCGTGTCGCTCCCTGCTCCCGTCAATGACTAGTACCGCACGTACCGTCCTGTTCTCTCTCGTGTTCTCGCCTCTCTTGTTACTCACCCTCGTGCCTCTGTGTCCTCTGTGTCCGCTCTTACTGCCGCAGTTACTGACTTTGCCTCTACCCGCCGCCTTGACTACGCCACCACGCTTGTGGCTGCTCCTCCTACCAGTCCTCTGGCCGTCGGGGGTGTGTCTGCCCTTGGCTGTGACGCCCTAGAGGACAGGCAGTTTGAGCTAGAGTTCCTGGCGGCCGCTTCCCCTCATCTCTGTGCCATGCTCCTCGCCCCTGAGGGTGACCCCGACGCCCTTGACATTCCGACTCCTCGCACTTACGCTGAGGCAGTGTCAGGGCCTTGGGCCTCTCAGTGGAGAGCTGCCATGGACGCAGAGATGGCCTCCTACAGATCCACAGGCACCTACGTCGATGAGGTTCCCCCCCCTGGGGCGAACGTAGTCGACGGCATGTGGATCTACAGGGTGAAGCGGCCACCGGGATCTCCCCCGGTCTTCAAGGCGCGCTACGTGGCTAGAGGTTTCAGTCAGCGCGAGGGAGTTGACTTCTTTCAGACCTTCGCACCTACCCCGAAGATGACCACTCTTCGGGTGTTACTACACGTAGCAGCACAGAGAGACTACGAGTTACACTCTCTTGACTTCTCCACTGCTTTCCTTCAGGGCAGCCTACACGAGGAGGTCTGGTTGCGTCGTCCCTCGGCCTTCACTGGCACCTTCCCTCCTGGGACCCAGTGGAGGCTGAGGCGACCTGTTTACGGTCTTCGCCAGGCCCCTCGTGAGTGGCACGACACTCTGCGTTCTACCCTCTCTGACCTTGGGTTCCAGCCGTCTTCTGCCGACCCGTCGCTGTTCGTTCGTCGTGGCTCCACACCGTTCTTTGTTCTGGTTTACGTCGACGACCTCGTTTTCGCCACTCCGGACAGGGTTGCTTTGGCAGACGTGAAGTCCGAACTGCAGAAGAGACACACGTGCACTGATCTTGGTGAGCTGCGCCACTACCTTGGCCTGCAGATCACCAGGGACAGAGCCGCTCGCACCATTACACTCTCACAGTCACACATGGTGCAGCAGGTCCTTCAGCGGTTCGGGCTTCAGCACTCCACCGTACAGCGCACACCTCTCGCTGTTGACCACAGACTCACTGGTCCCTTTCCTGACGAGCCGTTTGAGCCTAGTGGTCCCTACGCAGAGCTTGTGGGTTGCCTCATGTACCTGATGACTTGTACTCGCCCGGACCTCGCCTTCCCTCTCAGCATCCTTGCGCGCTTTGTTGCGCCAGGGAGACACCGTCCTGTTCACTGGACGGCAGCTGTGAGGGTGGCGAAGTACCTAGCGACTACATCAGGCGTGGGGCTAGTTCTTGGAGGGCAGCAGTCTGTCGTACTCACTGGTCACTGTGACTCCTCTTACGCTGACGACGTTGAGACTCACAGGTCTACTCAGGGGTACTGTTTCAGTCTGGGTTCTGGAGCTGTTTCCTGGCGTTCCACGCGCTCCTCTTCTGTCTCGACCTCTACAGCTGAGGCTGAGATTTACGCTGGTGCCATGGCGGCACAGGAGTTGCGTTGGTTGACCTTCTTGCTCGCCGACCTTGGTGAGCGGCCGAGCTCTGCACCGACCTTGTTCACTGACAACAAGGCGTCGATCCTCCTCTGTCGTGAGCCGCGACTGGAGAGCAGAGTGAAGCACATTCACGTCAGGTACTTTCTTCTGCGAGAGTTGCAGAGACGTGGACAGGCTCGCTTCGAGTTTGTGGAGTCCAACCAACATCAATGGCATCATCATTCCTCATTTTGACAGCTGGTGCTGCTTTGTACCCACTATGGTAGTTGCCATGAAACTGCCTCACTATACAACAGTAGCAGAGGGTGTAACCATTCAAACATATAACCTAGGTTTCCTCTTTCTAATCTAAGCTGCAACTTTAGTCACATCCAGTTTTACAGCATGGGTTCTGTGGGCTATGGATCAGATTGCTCCCTGCCTGAGCATGTCCACCTTTTTCTTGCAGCAGTTCTAATGCACAACTATTGCAACCAACCTGTCCTAGTAACCATGGAATCTTGGATCAGTAGAATAGAATGGTAGTAGTAATCTGAATGGAATCAACAAAGCATGCATCATCTTGGCTTCTACGTACTTGAAGCAGAGTAATAACTGCAGCAGCAGCTGAGCCATGTTATTTTGTTATGGTGCAGGCACTGGCGATAAAATTGACTTCAGAGGTTTTCACATTGTTTTGTCAAATGAGAGAAGGGTATTGCTTTGCCTGCTCCTTCACCCTCTTTTTGTACTCCACCGTGTCCTGAAAGAAAATCACCCAGCACAATCAAATCAGGTGTCAAAAGCAGCCATGCACATCATGCAAACAAATGATGTAGCTGAAGAAATTAACGGACCTGCGTGAAGAGCTGGTAAGCATCAGTTTGAGCTGGATCGGCAGGGTTTGGCTGGTCAAGCAACTCTTGAATACCAACAAGAATTTGCTTCACAGAAATAGCTGGTCTCCAGCCCTGAAGACGGAGAACAGAGACGCGGAAGAAAGAAAGAATAAGAGAGATAGAAAGAGGCAGGTAGCGGGGGAGGGGAAAGAAAGTGGAGGAAAAAAAAGTTTGCACAGACACAAGCGGCGCCGAACGAGAAGCAGCATGCTACTGCAAGAGATACTGACATAGTCTTCGTTGAGAATGCTGAGGCACACCGTGCCTGACGGATAGACGTTCGGATGGAAAAAGCCTGGAGGGAACTTGCACTTTGGCGGCTTCGATGGGTAGTCTTCTGTAAAATGTATCGTCAGCGGATAATGGCCACCTTCCCAGTCCGTCTGCGATAAGGCGAGTGTTAGATGAATACTACGGGAGCAAAACAGAAACAGAAAGAGCTACTCGATATCTACTCACGTCCTTCTTTCCAGGTATAACGCATTTCCATGTCATCATGTCTGTCGAGCCGTCATCTTTTGCCTCTGGTCTGGCGACAAATCCCTGCACGGTGTGACAATAGTCCACGTGTCATCCTACGTAAACGCTCAAAACCGCATCTTGCGAGCATCAAGTCACTCACGACTCACGTGCGGATGGTTCTTCCGCCAAGCTTTTCGTTCTTCCGTCAGCCTACCCAAAGAGATCCCCGTCATGGAGTCGAAGTACGGCAAATATGTTTTTGGCCAGCGATTATACAAATAAGGCGGTCGTTCAACGTCGAACGGTTCCTAGTGGCACACTATCTTAGAGCAGCGCTGACAGATTCGGGACAGGACGGGACTGCAGCTTTCTGTTGGTCGCAGTGATCCAGAGAGGTCTGACACCTCGAGAACTGAAGCGGGAAGAAAAGGAACCTGGCTTGATACACGCAGTTCGCTCGTTTGCTGGGTCGATAAGGCAAGTAAAGAAAGAAACATGGCATCATGCGATCATAATCCTTCAACATAGTTTTCCAAGCAAAATTCTTCATCACTAGAACCATGTCATATACTTCAGGCATCGGTGCCACAACTGACAAAAACCAGAGGTTTTGAATTTTTTATGATTTGAGACAATCATCGTACAGTTTGAGCTTAGGCTCAAAGGGTTGTTAGAACAACACATAAACCTGACCTCTAGGGACGGGAACAAGAAATTGCTCAGATTTAGAAAGCTTGCTTTCTCTTACTTATCATTTGGCATCGTTCTCATTTCAACTGGCAAATTACAACATGCACCTCGAGCTAGGAAGCAGAAGTGCTAGTACATGTTACTATACTGCGTATCAATCATTGTACTAGCGATTCCTCATGCTACTTGATGTCTATCATGCTACAAGCTATCGATCTTCTCGTTCAAGCAGCGTCGATGATGCCCGTCAGTGTTGGGGCGGGGGGTGGGAGAGTTGCATGAGCCGTTGGAAAACGAGAGACGTGGGTGGAGGGAAATGAGCTCCAACCCACGATTTGTAGTTGGAGAAGGGCGTTTAGCGCGCTTCGACGATGCCAAAACATGCGTTACAAGCAGCTGCGCTTTCGAAATACGTAATTTTGAAAAACACTTCGTGTGTTTAAAAATTATAATATGTTGAAGCAACAAACCACACCTTAATCGTCTACAGCACCACCATCAACGCCATCTGGAAATGTGACACATTTGTACACTTTACACTTCTGACAGAGCGTCATCCCCAGCTGCAAAGACCAAGAAAAGAAGTTCAGTGAACAGGTTACTGGAGAGAGGAAGTAAAATGGGGTAACACACAAGCAGCCTGGAAGAGGACGCCTCGCAGGTGCAGTTCAAACTGTTGCAAGGACAGAAGACTGGGTGCTGCTAGGCCTGTGTGTAGAAGCGTCAGAAGCTTACCATACACAAAAATATGCATGCAGTCACACACACTTGAGTTAACTCAGAACGAGGTGACTACATAGCCTAACATAAAACCCACTGTTTGTAAAAACGGGCCAAGATGACCATACACACGAAGATACATGCAGTCTCACACAGACTAGCATGCAGAGGCATGTACATATACACACACGTCCCCTCATCTCTCTCCTGCCAACCCCTTCCTTCCCTTAACCCACCAAACCCTCCAAACCACACACAGCCACACGGACTCACGGCGTAGCAGCCAGGGCAGCGGCGGAAGAGGCGTTTGTTGACCTTCACGTTCACCCTCTCCCCCTGGCACACCTCACACTGCAGCCAGCCCTGGCCGCTGCAGTCCGGGCATGGAATAGTGGAGCTGGAGAGAACAGCCTGGGAAACAGCAGGCGTTGGGAGTAAAGAGGCAGAGGGGAGGATGCGGTGTTTGTTGACTTCACTGTGTGACCCTCACGTTCACTCGCTGCCCCTCGCACACACACCTCGCACTGCAGCCAGCCAGCCAGCCAGCCCTGGCCGCTGCATTCCGGGCATGGAATAGTGAGGCTGGGGAGAACAGCCTGGGAAGTACCAGGCGTTGGGAGTAAAGGGGGGGAGGGAGAAGGCAAGAAAGAAAGAGGCGTTTGCTGATTTCATTGTGACTGCACGTTGACCCGCTGCTCCTGGCATACCTCGCACTGCCCCCAGCCCTGGCCGCTGCAGTCCGGGCATGGGATGGACGGGCTGGGGAGAAGCGCCTGGGCGACAGCAGGCGCTGGGAATCAGAAGGGGGAAGAGAGAACAGGAGGAGGGCACAGGGAATGGTAGGGCTTTGGGGTGGAGACTGAGGATGGGGAAGGGAGGAACAGGTGAGCTGGAAGGGATGCCTCGGTAAGCAACAACCATCAGCGACGTGTGCTTCTGCCAATGCAGCAAAACTGACGTTGGAAGTGTACGATTGGACTTTATATGAAGTGTACATGTATTGGTGGTCCATAGACCGTGTAACATAACGTGGTGGTGGTTAATGGTGGTGGTGAAGCATGATCTCGTGCTTCCAGGGTCAACGGAGTCAACGGCGGCGATGCAACAGATGCATCAGACGCACGAAACCTTGGGGCGCGCGCCTCAAAACTTTAAGCAGGTGAATCGGAAATCGGGAATGCACTAACCTCTGAGGTAGACGATGACGATGACGACGCGGCCAGTACGACGTTTCGCGTGGAATCAGCTACTGGAAATGTGGAAGATGGTCGTCGGAGAGAGGAGGACCGGCGGCGTAACCGTCCTTGGAGGGTATTGGTTGACGTAACGAGCTTGTGACCAGAGAGCGGTTGGGAAGCTCCTGATGCGGATCGGACAGCCGTTCTGTGTGCAGCAGCGCAACCTACGGCGGCTGGGACGGCGGAATGCGGAGCGAGAAGAGAGGTCATGGTTGACGGGTGACCAGTTCAGGCGAATCGAGACTAAACGAGGTCGATGAGACGAAACAGCCGCGAAGAGACTAAACCGTAGCGAGCGACGAGCCAGAACGCGAGCTCGGGAAAATTGAATGGCACGATAGCGACGCCAGCCTCCGAGGCCACGTCGAGCCTCTTTTCCCGCCAAATCCGCGTCCTCCGCACCACCTCGTAAGCCAGCAACTAACTAAACACACACCGCCTGCTAAATGGCAGCAGGAGGAAACGTGGAGTGTTCCTCCTATTATGCTTCATTGGACACCAACTTGCGGCGACTACTATAAGGCGATGATATTGTACAACTGTAGGAAAAGCCTACTTATATCATTTGGTCCCAATTTGTAAAACGCGTACCCCGTCACTTCTGCTCTCTTCGCTCCACCAACCCGACGTGTCCGTCGCTGCTGATTGGCGTTCGCAACCCACGAGCGTAACGACGAGCCTGCTGTCTGTCCGCTGCCTTGGGAAAAATAACGCGACTTGACGGTTTTCGGTTTTGTGTCAATCCGGTCGACCACTCGTGCACCACGTCAGCACAATTTAGAATTCCAAAACTCCGATCGACCTTACAATGAGTTACGCGTTATGGTGTCATGTTTATTGGTTGGTGTTGAGTGTGTCACCGCAGGTAAGTAACTTTGTCATAGTTAGCTTGGTTTAGGCTCTCTAACGTCTCGCATGATATTGGTTTTGTCGTGGTGCAGGTCTGCACAGTACATACGACGCTGTCGTGTAGGCAGGGTTTAGATATGGCAATCTGGGAAATTATGCCTGTGACTGCTTGTGACATAGGAAACGCCCAATCAAAATCTGTAACTCCTCAAATTTAGGCTAGAATCATGCGCGAGGGTAACAAGCAATCGAGATTGGGTTTCCTACATTTCTCTACAGTTTCTTTTGTGGTTTCAATAAAATTATGCTCGTTTCATTGAGTGACCAAAAGTGATAGCTTTTCGGGGCAAGGTATGACCATCTGTGATAGCACCATGGTCACCAGCGATAAAAATTTACTTTACTGTAACTGTTTGTGATATCCTTGTGACCAAACGTAATCATGGTAGGCATATCGCACCTACTGACACGCGTAATCTTACTCTGCAAAAAACGACAGACACTACCACCCACAAACCTACGAATTTGGAGAAACCCTAACGCAGGATTACTACTTGCGACAGAGTGACCATTTCATGCTTGCAAGTGTAGAAAAAGGGTCGGTCGATCGGAGTTTTGGAATTCTAAATTGTGCTGACGTGGTGCACGAGTGGTCGACCGGATTGACACAAATCTGAAAACCGTCGAGTCGCGTGATTTTTCCGCTGCCTTCCGTTCCGTACTGCTGACTGCTGGCAGCGTCGCTGCGTCCAGTCACCTCACCAGTCATAGGGGGGAAGAGGGAGATTGGGAATGAGAAGTGGGAGTGGGTGAGGGGGTGAGGGGCTGTGAACGAGTGAGAATGTGAATGGGACGGGGGAGGGGGGGAGCTGGGGGTGAGCTGAGGGGTGAGCTGAGCACGAGCCTCGGTGCAACTGGAAAAGGGAGTGTGTGGTGTCTGTGTCTCTGTGTGTGAATTTTGTCTTGTTGTCGTGGGTGTGTGTGTGGATGGAGCGTTACCTGCCAGCCCGCTTCAGTCCGCTCCGCACGGAAATACCTTTTTAGGGCACGACTTGCTTAGCAACTCGGTGAACCGTACATATTATTTTAGGTTACGGACGGCCGCCGGATAACCTACGCGAATGGAGCTCATATCTGGAAGCCGGAAATTAGTCAGAACCATAAATATTTCGTGCGTGACGTTATTAGAAGTTCTTCACGAATAAGTGAGGACTTCGGTGTAAAACGTGAGGGACATTGGCACTGAAATGGAATGGATGTCATCAACGGCAGCTGGAAGCTAGTCAGGTCAATCAGCCGCATCGGACGGACCAGAGGACGAGGTAATGACATCAACGGCTAGCCATCGTTCTCCTAAGAAACAGTTTCTCCTCGCTCGTCCCGTGAACCGTCAAAGTCGCATCCAGTTTAGGCTCGAATAAACCGTTGAGGAGTCGACTTGAATGTTGTATTCTAATAGTAGACACTAATCGCCTGCTAACAGCCGGCCATGTCGTTTCAAATGAGCCGGGTTTCCATGCACCATGTATCAATAGACAAGGTGTCAACACACCGACTATCCCTCGTTCCGTAAACGTCCACAACCCCTCGTGCTCCACGTAACGATACTAGCTACTTTCTACTATGAACCCACTGAACAGGTCTAATCATGAACAGGTATCATCTCGTAGCTCACCTTGTAACCGTGTCTATTCTCAGTATCGCTTTTTGTGCTCGTCGCGTCACCAAAACCCCCTCCACTAACTCACCGCGTCGTGTAACTCCCCCTCCTCGTGCCAACTGTCCCCGCCGGGTCATCTGCGCGTCATCTGCGCTTCCCCTCCCCTCCTCCCTAACTCGTCCCCTAAATCCACCCACATGACGACTTGGTAATTGACATAGGCGCGGGCGCGAGAAAGTAGTTTCCCCCTGAAACATTCCCAACGAAACTTCCACCCTCTCCCCTCTCCCCCCACCTCTCTCCCCTCCCCCTCCCCCTCCCCCTCCTCCTCCCCCTCCCCGCTCCCCCCTTCCCCGCGCTTCCCCCGCAATCCCCGCAGATGACGAGCGGGAGATTGAGATAGGCGCGCCAACCGGCGTGAGCCACGTGACGCACGTCACCTTCGACCGCTTCCAGGGCTTCCTCGGCCTCCCGGATGACTTTCACGGCGAGCTGCCGGCACGAGCTCCCAGCGCCAGGTAGGGGGATTCAGAGAACTATTCAGGGAGATTGCACGCCAAGGGCATATGAAGTTGCTGTTAGGGTCTCTCGGGTCTCCTGAGCTTCCAGGGCTTCCTCGGCCTCCAGGACGACTTTCACGGCGAGCTGCCTGCTCGAGCCCCCGGTGCAAGGTGAACATGAAGGGAGGCTCTTGGGAGTTTGCAGGTCAGGTGCATATGAAGTTGCTGTAGGTGACTTTTGAGGCGCCTCAAAAGTCTCTTGGGAGTTTGCAGGTCAGGTGCATATCAAGTTGCTGTAGGTGTTGATGGTGCACCTCTCCTCACACCTTTGCACCTCCTCCCTCTTCCCCCACCCCAACTCCACCCCCCTCCCAACGCACTCCCCCGCTGCCCGGTCAGTCGGAGTGTGTTTGGGGTGTGGCCGGAGACGCTGCAGTGCTCGCACGAAACATCCCGTCTTTCGTTTCGTGCAGATGGTGCAGCTCTCCGTATTCTCACCAACATCCCGTCTTCCGTTCTGTTCTGTTACACACAAACCCCCATCAACCCCCCACCAGTCGGACTGTCTTTGGGGTGCGACCGGAGACACTGCAGTGTTCGCACGACTTGGAGGGCAACCAGGTGCCGGACATTCTGCTGCAGCTGCAGGCGATGCTCTACGGCAAGAACGGACTGCAGGTGCGTGCTGTGCTGGTGGTGGTGGTGCCTGGGACGAGTCGCCTGTCGCCTGGGCCCTTGGTTGGGTATCTGTTCTGTGGTCGTTTCTGTTTCACACAGCTGCAGCTGCAGGCGCTGCTCTACAGCAAGAGCGACTTGCAGGTGCATGCTGGTGCTGGTGCTGGTGCTGGTGCTGCTGCCTGGGGTGGGTGGGTGTGAGTGAAGCCGGCAAGCACGTGCCAGTCTGCTCCTTGATCGCCATCCTGCCTGCCAATCATCCCACCTGCCAGCTTCGCTTGCCAATACAATGTTAGATTCTGTCCCTTCCTGTCTCACCGCTCACATCCCTCAACCCTGTCCTCGCCCATCCCCAACCCTCTTCGCCCCACAACTTTCATTGGAGGGTGGCAGACGGAGGGCATATTCCGAGTGGCAGCGCAGAACGACCATGAGGACTTGATCCGAGAGCAGGTGGGCCTGACAGTGTGTGTGTGCGTCTGTGTCTGTGTCTGTCTGGTGCGAGCTGCTTCTGGTTGTGAGACACCTCAAAGCTCGAAAATGGCAGCACAGAACGGCCACGAGGATTGGATCCGAGAGCAGGTGCGTTGTCTGGCTGGCTATGTGTCGTGCCAGCTGCATTGCTTGCTGCCTGCACCCACCAATCATCAACCATCAACCATCAACCATCAACCACCAACCATCAACCATCAACCATCAACCATCAACCACCAACCATCAACCATCAACCATCAACCATCAACCATCAACCATCAACCATCAACCATCAACCATCAACCATCAACCATCAACCATCAATCATCAATCATCAATCATCAGGCATGGCATGGCATCGTTGAATCCTCCCCCCACCACCACGGTCGCATCACCTTCATATCACGCACCACCTTCATATCATGCACCACCTTCATGTCATGCACCACCTTCATATCATGCTATGAAGGAGGTGAAGCATGATATGAAGGCACGGACACCAAACCTGCATCGTGTTGATGTCCATCCCTGCATCGTGTTGATGTCCATCCCTGCATCGTGTTGGTGTCCATCCCTGCATCGTGTTGATGTCCATTCCCTGCATCGTGTTGATGTCCATCCCTGCATCGTGTTGATGTCCATCCCTGCATCGTGTTGATGTCCATCCCTGCATCGTGTTGATGTCCATCCCTGCATCGTGTTGATGTCCATCCCTGCATCGTGTTGATGTCCATCCCTGCATCGTGTTGATGTCCATCCCTGCATCGTGTTGATGTCCATCCCTGCATCGTGTTGATGTCCATCCCTGCATCGTGTTGATGTCCATCCCTGCATCGTGTTGATGTCCATCCCTGCATCGTGTTGATGTCCATCCCTGCATCGTGTTGATGTCCATCCCTGCATCGTGTTGATGTCCATCCCTGCATCGTGTTGATGTCCATCCCTGCATCGTGTTGATGTCCATCCCTGCATCGTGTTGATGTCCATCCCTGCATCGTGTTGATGTCCATCCCTGCATCGTGTTGATGTCCATCCCTGCATCGTGTTGATGTCCATCCCTGCATCGTGTTGATGTCCATCCCTGCATCGTGTTGATGTCCATCCCTGCATCGTGTTGATGTCCATCCCTGCATCGTGTTGATGTCCATCCCTGCATCGTGTTGATGTCCATCCCTGCATCGTGTTGATGTCCATCCCTGCATCGTGTTGATGTCCATCCCTGCATCGTGTTGATGTCCATCCCTGCATCGTGTTGATGTCCATCCCTGCATCGTGTTGATGTCCATCCCTGCATCGTGTTGATGTCCATCCCTGCATCGTGTTGATGTCCATCCCTGCATCGTGTTGATGTCCATCCCTGCATCGTGTTGATGTCCATCCCTGCATCGTGTTGATGTCCATCCCTGCATCGTGTTGATGTCCATCCCTGCATCGTGTTGATGTCCATCCCTGCATCGTGTTGATGTCCATCCCTGCATCGTGTTCATGTCCATCCCTGCATCGCGTCACCTCCCTTCCGTACGCTGTAACGTGTGCCGGTCATGCATGCTATACTCTCCCTCTCTTTCTCCCTCTCCCTCTCTGTGTGCTCCTTGCCTGCACCTCGCCTTGCCTCGCGCCATGCTGCAGGTCAACCTGAGTCTGGTGCCGCGCAACATCTGTCCCTGCATTTTCTCCTCTCCTTGTGCTTCCCTCACCCCCCCCCCCCCCCCCCCCCCCCCCCCCGCCTCGCCTCACCCCATGCAGGTCAACCTGGGTCTGGTGCCGCGCAACATCGACGTGCATGCCATCGCAGGCCTCATCAAGGTACGCCCCTCTCTCCCTCCCCTCTCCTCCCCTCCCCTTCTCTCCGTCATCTTTTTCCTTTCCCCTCTTCTCCCTCACTCCCTTGCCTCCCCTCCTCTCCCTCCTCTCCTTCCGCTCCCCTCTTTTCCCTCTTCCCCATCTTCCCCTTCCTCTCCCCCTTCTCCCGCTTCTCCCACCCATCTTTCCCTCCCATCTTTCCCTCCTCTCCCTCTTCTCTCTCCTCTCTCCCCTCTTCCGTCCCCTCCCTACCTCCTCCCCTCCTTTCCCTCCGCATTGCTGTGCCTCTCCGTTACCCCCATCCGCATCCTTATCTCCATGCCCACCCCCAGGGTGTTTTTGAGAATTCTCAAAAACACCCTGCAGCATTGCTGTGCCTCTCTTTTACCCCCATCCGCATCCTCATCTCCATTCCCACCCCCAACCCCATCCCCATCCCCTTCTTCCCGTTCTCCCCCTCCCTTCTCTTCAACTTTCCCATTTCACCCCTCATCCAGGCGTGGTTCCGCGAGTTACCAGAGGGCCTACTGGACCGCTTGAAGCCAGAGAAGGTAGCGGCAGCAGAGAGGGAGGAGCAGATGCTGGCGCTCGTGGCCACACTGCCCGCCCTGCCTGACCTGTACCCCCACCCCCGCACCGCACCCTCCCACTCAATGCAGGCGTGGTTTAGGGAGTTACCAGAGGGTCTACTGGACCGCTTGAAGCCAGAGAAGGTGGCAGCAGCGGAGAGGGAGGAGCAGATGCTGGCGCTCGTGGCCACACTGCCCGCCCTGCAGGCTGGCATGCTGGACTGGGCGGTGGGGCTGATGGCGGACGTGGTGCAGCACGAGGCGAGCAACAAGATGAACGCGCATAACATCGCTGTGGTGTTCGCTCCAAATATGACGCAGGTGTGTGGGTGCATTGGGTGGGCCGGGGTGTGGGGTTCTGGGAATGGGCAGTGGTTGGGGTGAATTTGGCGGTGGATGGGTTGGGTTGGGTTGGGTTGGGTGTAGTTCAGTCTTGAGAGCTCTCACTGCTGGACTGGGCGGTGGGGCTGATGGCGGACGTGGTGCGGCACGAGGCGAGCAACAAGATGAACGCGCATAACATCGCTGTGGTGTTCGCGCCCAACATGGCCCAGGTGGGTTGCTAGGTGCCTCAGGTGGGGTTTCAGGTAGCCCAGGTGGGTTGGCCAGATGGCCCAGGTGGGTTTTGAGGTGGCTCAAAAGGCAGCAAGAAGATGGGGAAGGGCGTCGTTTATCCTTCTTTCCTCCGTCCAACTCTGTCTCTTGCTCCTACCCTCCTCCCCTCTCCTTCCCTCCTCTCTTCCTCGTTCCCCACCCCCGGACCCTCTCCCACCCAGATCGTTGACCCCCTCCCACCCAGATCGTTGACCCCCTCCCACCCAGATCGTTGACCCCCTCCCACCCAGATCGTTGACCCCCTCCCACCCAGATCGTTGACCCTCTCATCGTCTTCCAGCACGGCAGCAAGGTGACGGACGGACCTCCTCTCAGAGCGCTTGTGCAGCGCAAGCTCAAGCACACAGCTCAAGCACACAGCTCAAGCACACAGCTCAAGCACACAGCTCAAGCACACAGCTCAAGCACACAGCTCAAGCACACAGCTCAAGCACACAGCTCAAGCACACAGCTCAAGCACACAGCTCAAGCACACAGCTCAAGCACACAGCTCAAGCACACAGCTCAAGAAGCCCTTCTTTCTGCCTTTCCCCTCCTTCCTTCTCCCTCCTTCCCCCTCCTCACTCAGATCATGGACCTCCTCAGAGCGCTTCACACTTGCCCCTTCCTCTCCTCTCCCCAACCAATCCCTCTCCCTCCCTCCACTGGCCCCCTGCTCTGCCCCCAATGGCCCCCGGCTCTCCCCCCACTGGCCCCGGCTCTCCCCCCACTGGTCCCCGGCTCTGCCCCCAATGGCCCCCGGCTCTGCCCCAGATTGTGGACCCGCTAATCGGCTTCCAGCATGTCATCAAGCTCATGGACCTGCTCAGAGTGCTCGTGCAACGCAAGCTCAAGCAGCGCCTCGACAACCCCCCTCTGTCCGCCGCTCCTCTCACGGACCAACCAGCACAGGACGGGGCAGAGAGGGGGGAGAGGGAGGAGGAAGGGGAGGAGGAGGAGGAGGAGGAGGGACAGGAGCGGCACGGTTCAGGCAGATATGGTGGCTTTCTCGGGAATGGTGTGCATGAAGAGAGCACAGGTCATGAGGAGGAAAGGGAGGAAGATGATGAGAGGGGGGGAGAGCCGTTATTGGATGAGTGCACAGCACCTCTGGCAGGAGATGACCCTCACACGCCCATTGCCAGACCTCTTGTTCCCGAACCTCTCCTTGCCGAGCCTCTCATTCCCGGACCTCATGGCGAGCGTCCGTTTGGTTCGCCTAGCAGAATGGGAGAGAGGAGATGCGGAGGAGGAGGGGATGGAGGTCGGGCGGTGGAAGGAAGAGGGGGGAGAAGAGGACGACCGAGCAAAGGGAGAGGGGCAGGGCGAGGGGGGAGGGGGGTCGGGCGAGGGGCAGAGGGAGAAAGAGTGGCACTAGGAGTTGCAGGAGGGGCAGGAGTGGGAGGGGTAACGGGAGGGGTTGGAGGGGTAACAGGAGGGTTTGGAGGGGTTGGAGGGAGCCGAGGTTGTGGTGTTCCCGTGTGCAGGAGTGAGGAGGTACAGGGGTCAACTTGGATCGTTGATAATAGGCTTGAGGGGGACAGTGCATGTGATCGGCAAGAGGGGAGCAGCGGCAGCGAGGGGGAGGCAGTGGTGTGTCATGGGTGGGACATGATGCCAGCTGTAACGGGCAATTCGCTTCCGGTTTCGACCAGTGCTGGCGATTCTGCACACCAACGGCAGCAGCAGCAGCAGCAGCCGTTTAAGCCGGCGTGGAAGCAGCGCGGTGCAGAGCGGTGCAGCACATTGAGCATGGAGTGCGGGCTGAGCATGGATGGCAGCAGCATGTTCAGTCCACACGGGGGCATGCTGAGTCCGTGTGAGAGCATAGACAGCCCGGGGGGGGTCCTTGCCACGCCCGTGGGTCTCACAGGGGCAGCTGCAGCTGCTGCTGCTTCTGACCCTGCCTTGTTCCTGAGGTTCCGCAGCGATTCGCGGGAACAGCAGCAGGGGCTTCTCACTCAGGCGCCTCAGCAGGCGATCCTGCCTGCTGCGCCCCCCGTTGGAGGGACTGTTGGCCTCTACGCACGGGCGCATGCAGCTGCTGCTGCTGCTGCTGCTGCTGCTGCTTCTTCCCCTGCTTCCTCCCCTGCTGCTGCGCTTGGGTTGGCATCCTCCTCAGCAGCAGGCAGTGCAGCCTCCTCTCCCACGGTAGCAAGCCCTGCACTGAGCCCTGCGGCCTTCTCTCCCACTACCGGCACCCCCAGCTCGGCAGGAGAGAGGCGGCACGGGGGGCACAAGGGAGGGTTCAAGGGCGACCTGTGGTCCAGACGAAAAGGGCCTGCAGTGCCCCACTCCCGCCTCTCCCTCCCTGCTGCCTCCTCCCCCTCTGCTGCTGCTGCTGCTGCTGCTGCTGCTTGTGCCAACAATGGTGCTTACCCGGCTAATGCCAGTGCCTCTCGCACTGCCAGCAACAGCAGTGCTGGCAGCGATGCTGCTGCTAGAGCTGCCACCAGCAGCAGCGGTGACCTGACCCCCACCCCTCCCGCCAGCACTGGTGGCTTCACACCCACCCATCCCCTCACACCCACGCCTCCCTTAACTCCCACGCCTCCCTCCCGTCCGCTCAAGGACCCCTCCGCCCACTCCCCATCCCCCCTTCGCTCCCCTCTGCTGGGACGGAGACGAGGGTACAAAGAGAAGAAGCACTCTCCGGGTAGCAAGCAGCAGCAGCAGCAGCAGCAGCAGCACGCAGTGCTGGCGTCGGCACCATCAGCTGGGGCAGCAGGTGAGTGTGCCCCAGCGCTGACCCCCCGGTCAGGGTTTGGTGCTGTGCCCCCAGGCACGCCCCCTTCAGAGGCCGCTCAGAACCCTGCTGTGACTCCTCGCTCGTTCCTCTCCCGGCAGTTCCCAGGAGGGTCGGGCTTTGGTGCGGTCCCAGGCACGCCTCCCCCTCACTCGCCCCGCCTATTCCCCCTGTCGCCGCGGAACTTCTTTAGAAAGCACAAGTCGGAGGGGGGCGTGGAGAGGAGAGACGGGGTAGAGCGGGACGAGGGGAGAGAAGGTGGAGAAGGGAGAGAAGCGAGAGAAGGGAGAGAAGGGGGAGAGGGGCATGAGCATCACTTGCAACACTCTAGGCTGATGGTGGTGGGTGAAAGTTCAGACAACCACGTGGGGGAATCAGGAGGCATTCCAGGTTCAGAGCACACTGAAGCAGGGGCGTTTCCAGAGACAGGTGGTGGGGTTGGTGGAGACAGGGAGGGAGGGGTTTGTGCTGTTTCTCAAGTCAGTTCTGTTCCTCAAGTCGGTTCTGTTCCTCAAGTCGGTTCTGATTCTCAAGTCGGTTCTGTTCCTCAAGTCGGTTCTGTTCCCCAAGCTGGTTCTGCCCCTCGGTTGCCAATTACCTGGTCTGACACGCAGTGTGCTTTTGAGAGCTCTCCACACCAATCTCCCCTGGGGTATGAGCAGCAGCATCAGGTGCAGTGGGGTGACAGCAGCACGGGAAATGTGGGAGAGCATGCGGGGGAAGCGGGGGGGACAAGAGGAACAGGATGGGCGGCAGTAGAAGCAGCAGCGGCAACAGCAACTGGAGGGCGGCCAAAGTCGAGTGGGGGTTGGAGAAGAGGGTGGTCTGGGCCTCATGGGGTGGCAGGGGTGGGTAAGGGCATGCACCTGCTCAGCCCACACAGGGGTGATGCACACAGGCCAGGGCATTGGGACACCGCTGCTGCTGCTTCCGCTGCCGCTGCCGCCGCCGCCGCCGCCGCCACCGCTGCTGCTGCTGCTGGTGCTGGTGCTGGTGCTGGCGCTGGTGCTGGTGCTGCTGGTGCTGCTAGCGATAGTGCCACTGCTGCCAGTGGTGCCAATCCAGGTGGTTCGGCCAGCAGGAGCGGCCGAACGAAGCTGGGAGCAGCAGGGTCGGGGCTGGCAGCAGCAATGAAAACATCGGTGAAAACGTCTATGAAGGTACTCGCCCCGCTTGCACCCACCAAGACCTGGGCGTCAGGCATGGGCGATATGTTTGGGGCCAAGTCCCCCCGCGCTCTCCTCTCCCCGCACTCTCTCCTCTCCCCCCGCGGCTTCCTTTCCCCTGGTGGTTTCCGCTCCCCCCACCCGTCCGGACACGGAGAGAGGGCGGATGGGGGAAACAGGGGGGGTGAGGGGGACAGGGCATATGGGGAAGGCAGTGTGAAAACGCCAGGAAGGGGAGAGGGGGCAGGCAGGGGAGAGGGGGCAGGCAGGGGAGAGGGGGCAGGCAGGGGAGAGGGGGCAGGCAGGGGAGAGGGGGCAGGCAGGGGAGAGGGGGCAGGCATGGCGGATTTCTTACCCAGCGAAGAGGAGAAAGGAGGGAGAGAGGAGGGAAGAGAGGAGGACGGGGAGGAGCGGCGATTCCCAGCCGAACAGGCGTCTCTCGACTTGCCTGTCAAATCACCAAGGGCATTTCGGAAACTAACCCGGAGGTCGAGTGGGTTTCAGCTGCCGACGCGGGCAGCAGTAGCAGCAGCCATGACCCTCCCCTCGTCCCTCTCCATGAAAGAGCGGCGCTCCGAATCATCAGCAGCACCAGCCATTTTCTCCCTCCCTCCCTCTGCTTCTCTCTCCTCTGCCTCCCCTTCCTCGGCAAAGCCTCCGTGGGGCTCCGGGTCGATGCAGGAACGGCCTCTGCACCTGCAGCAGCAGCAGCAGCAGCGCCTGGCGCAGGCTCGGCAGCAGGAGGTTCGGCAGCCGGAGGCTCGGCAACTGGAGGCTCGGCAACTGGAGGCTCAGCAGTCGGGCGTCTCCCAGGCTCCGCTGGAGGGTCGGTTGCGGCAGGTCCGGAAGGGGAAGGTGCAGCTTCCTCGGGCTATTTCAGCGGATCAGTATCAGCAACACGATGGGAGGGAGTTCTTCCAGGAACAGCTATCGCTGCAGCAACAGCACCTTCAGCAGCAGCAGCAGCAGCAGCAGCAGCAGCAGCAGCAGCAGCAGCAGCGAGCTCCTCTAGAGAAGGCAAGCAGTGCGAGTGCAGCTCTGGCAGCGTGGGCCAAGCGGTCAAAGCAAGGGGGGCAGAGGCAGGGGCAGGCACGCAGAGAGGGGGTTGGTGGTGGTGGTGGTGGTGTTAACGGTGGCGGTGGAGGTGCTGGTGGGTGGCATGGTGTGGCTCGTAGTGTGTCGGTCGATGTGGTGACACATGGCATGGCCTCTCAGGCAGCAGAGCTTGGGGGAAACTCTGGAGCAGGAGGAGGAGGGGAAGGAGCAGGAGGAGGAGGGGAAGGAGGAGGAGGAGGAGGAGGAGGAGGAGGAGGAGGAGGAGGAGGAGGAGGAGGAGGAGGAGGAGGAGGAGGAGGAGGAGGAGGAGGAGGAGGAGGAGGAGGAGGAGGAGGAGGGGTGGGGAAGGTGAGAAGACATGCAGGAGGGGCTGTGGGTGTGAGTGGCAGCGGGGAGAGAGTGAGGGCGCCGACACTGGAAAGACCACGTGTGCCCATTGCACGGTCAGAGTCAGAGTCAATCCCTAGGTCGTCCAGTTTCAACAGCCACCACCAGCCACCGCTGCCGCAGCAGCAGGTGCAGGGAGCACACTTAACAGCAGCAGCACAGCTGCTGCAGCAGCAGCAGGGAGCGCAATCGTCTGATTACTCAAGGTCGGTTATCCGGTCGTCCAGTTTCAACAGTCACCACCAACCTCTGCCGCCCCAGCAGCAGATGCAGGGATTGCTGTCATCTGACCACTCTAGGTTGGTTCCCCGGTCGTCCAGTTTCAACAGCCATCACCAGCCACTGCAGCCGCCGCAGCTGCAGGGATCACCAGCAGCGGCACAGCTGCAGCTGCAGGGAGCGTACTCGTCTGACCACTCAAGGTTGGTTCCCCGGTCGTCCAGTTTCAACAGCCATCACCATCCTCTGCCGCCGTATCACCCACCATCACAACTGGCAGCAGCAGCAGGAGCAGCAGCAGCACCACCACTATCACCACTGCAAAAGCAGCACCAGCAGCAGCAACAGCCAGGTGACAATGTCAGGTCCTGGGGCCATGTCCCAACCGCCGCTTCAGGCTCGAGGCCTGGCTCGGGCCAAGGCTCGAGGCCCGGATCCAGGCCCGGATCCAGACCTGGGTCGTCCCAAGGGATTGTGAGAAGTGGGTCTGGTTCTGTATTGAACCAAGATGCTCCCATGGTTGCTGGTGCTGTTGCTACGGCCTTGACTGAAGGAATGCCGAGTGAGGGTAGGGTGGGGTCTGGTGTAAGATTAGCGGTAGGAGCGGTTGGTTTACCCAGGAGAAAGAGTACTAGGTAGTAAGGGCATGTTTGTAATGTAATGATGGAGTAATTGGTGTGTTTCGGCTGAAATATGCGGGTGTGGTTGGTTGGGCTGCTTAGGAATACCGTATCTTTCTGTGCGATTGTCTTGCTGGAAACGTAGTGTAGGCCATCTTTTAAGGTTGTGCAGTGCAATGCTGTGTAATGTGGAAAGAAGGAATCCTTCAATCTACCATATCGTCTGATTTCCGCCTCAGCACAGCACTGAATGCATGCCTGGGAAGTGGAGAGAGTGTCATGTCATGTACGGTAGTGTTTCTTTGGTTATGGTACCATTTGGAAAGGCAAATATCTGACCATTGCATTGAAAGTATCATATAATATAAAGCGTTAAAAACAATATGAGCAATATATATAAGGGAGCCCCTCCCCACCAATCGCAAGAGGCTTGTAAGGAGATCGGTGTGACATTAGACCCAGTTCGAGTCAACGCCCCCCTTGGTGCGAGCTACGGTAGCTGAGAGGAGTATGAGCAATTATTCTCCACGAGCATCCATCTTGGTCACTACCACAATACCGGTAGTGTGAATATACATGCTAGCAGTTGGGAGGTTCCAGTGAGGTTGATGCGGGCTTCCGCTTGTTGATTAGCTGTGGGTCACACGAGCAGGTAACAGCAGCACACCTGTTGCTGCAAGAATGGGAGGAACCCGTTAGTAAACATGCATTAGTAAACCGACGGTTGCACATCAGCAGCTTCAGTAGATTGAAGGTTGCAGATCAGGCTTAGTAGATTGACAGTTGCAGATCAGCTGAAGATGATTGACGGTTGCAGATCAGGCTTAGTCGATCGACCATAACACGCCAGCTGCTGCTGCATGCTCCGCAACACACCCCGCCCGCACCAAGTTCCGAAAGAACTCTCACCCCGCAACTCTGTTTCGCGACGACTAGAACAGAGAGCGCGGTGGTATACCACCAGCAGCAAAGCTCCACCAGCAGCACCCAAGCTCCACACCACCGAACTAACTCAATTCCTAGGATTTCCAAGTCGACTCAAAAAGCTCGGGCAGCACAGGGAGCAGGGGGGTCAAAGGTTTCAGTATCGGATTGCGTAATCATGATCTTGCTGACGCAACTGATGCGCAGGTCGAGCCGTGGCGGGGATGCGGCCACGACCCTGCTGACGTGGCCTCCTCGAACCACACCTCTAAGCGCTGCGCGACCAGCGACACGGGAGAAACCGGGCTCGCGACTTCGACGCGCGCGCGCCCGCGCGAGTCGCCCGCCAGGCTGAGCGGACGGATAGGCGTGTAGTACCGCGGCGAGACCGCGCGGCATTGAACCCGCGCCACGTCAGCACCCAACGGGTTTACGTTCGAAACGGAGTCATTATTAGGAGCGCGTCCGGCGGAGTGCGCTTCGTGAGGGCCATAGCGCGGCGCGCAGGTTGCAGCGGCCGTAGGTCGAGAATAATACAGCTGATGGCGCCGCGGATTAAGCCCGTAGTGATCGTGAACGTTGGATGACGGTCCCGCGCCACCCGCGCGCGGCATGGTCATTGCAGTGCTTCGCCCGAGCGGCCCCTGTTGTACTAGCTGATGATTCGCCTGTCGCAACCGCGACCGCGGCCGCTCTTCCTCCTCTCCTTCCGTCTTGACCTGTCGCGACCGCGGCCGCTGTTCCTCTTCTCCTTCCGTCATGATCTGCCGCGACTGCGGGTGCTGTTCCCGATATCCAATGTCCTGTGCGGCGATGCGAAATCGCTGCTGCTGCGCGTGGGCTTCGCGGCAGAGATTGGATCGCGGGCAGCTGGACTCGGACCGCGGGCAGTTAGAAGCGTGCGCAGCTGCGCAAGCGGGCTGCGGAGAGCGGTTTCGAAGCGCGGTGGCTGCAGGCGGTCGCGACGACAACGGCGAGGAACTCAGAGGGGAGAAGGGTAGCGGCGAGGACGGGGCGGAGGGCGCGAAGTGGGCGGAGGGCGCGAAGTGGGCGGAGGGGGAGATGTGGGCGGAGCGGGAGAAATGGGCGGAGGGCGAGAAGTGGGCGGAGGGGGAGAAGTGGGCGGAGGGCGAAAATGGGGCGGAAGGGGAGAAAGGGGACAGGGGCGAGAGGTGGCGTTTGAACTCGCAGCTGCGGCCAACATAATGTCTGCTTTGATTGGCCCCGCAAAAATTTTCCCCACTACCCGCAGCAGCAGCTGCTGCTTCCGTTCCGTTCGCAGTCGCGCCACCAGCTGTAGCAGTTTTCCGCGCCGCTGCTGCTGCTACTGCCGGCGGCGAGTACGGCTGGCCGCGGGAGTCCGCTAGTGACTGCAGGCTGCGCTGCGTGCGCGGGGAAGGATGCGCGGGCTTGGGATACGCGGGCGGGGACGGGACCTCCGCGCAAAATAGACGGCCTGCCCCGTCTTCCCCTCTGAGCGGAAGCGTTCTCGCCCGCCGCATGACCCTCGGGCCTGTCGCGGCGGCTTCCCCCAGGGAAAACGCGCCGTCCTCCGAATGCACTGCGTCCGCGCCGGCGCCGGTGGGCGATGCCGCGCGCGCCGTACTCCGCGGACTCGTTCGGCGCCGCGAGATCATCCTCGGGCCGCTGGGTGCCACAGTGCACCTAGTTGGACTCGGCTGACTGTAACGGAACGAATTCTCCGCCCTACCCGCCGCCGCCGCCGCCGCCGCCGCTGCCGTCGCGCAATGCACCGGGGATAGGTCCGCCCCTAGTAATGTGTCTCTGCGGTACTCTGGCGGCCGCGGGATCCGCCGCGCCCATGGGGAAACGGAGGGCGGGGAAACTTCCGAGGATGGGGAAGCTTCCGAGGACTGCGGTGATTCTACCGAGAGCGCCGTTGGTTGTCGAAATTTCTCAAGTGCCAGCTGGACAGATCGGCGGTTTGTTGTAGTACCGCTGAAAGAGCGACTCCCCATGGTTGTTAAGCCTCGTTCCACGCGCCTCGCGTACACCTGCCGTGCTGCCGCAGCCGCCGCCGCTGTTGTCGTCGCCGCGGAAGATGGAGACAACTCTGGGACCGCCGCCGCTCGTGCGGCCTGATGGGTCGAGCATATGCCGCTGTCCCGCGACTGTGCCACAACTGTCGGGCTCTGCGTCCTTGACGGCGGCTGATGCGGCGGATGATGCGGCGGCGAGCACGGACCTCCTGGACTCCGAGCCCCAGACCTGCTGTCGTCGGGCCCCGCGATTGTTGCTGATTTGACGAGTAGGTGCGGGCGACGCTCCCTGTTGAAGCCACCATTGTCGCTGGCAGCGGCTGCGGCGGCTGTGGCGGCGCAGATGGGTCGTCGATCAGAGCAGTACTGAGCGCCTCTTCGCGCTGCGTCGTTCGCGGCGCGATGGCTTACAGAATCGCTGCTACTGCGGCAAGGGCTGGGCGCGAGGTCGTCGCTTTCCGCCGCGGCGCCGTCCGCCACGAGTGTTTCCAGCTCGACCAGGCGGCGGCGATTTCCGGCGGAGGCCATGCTGATGCTCCGCGCGACGTCATTCCCACGATGCGCCACGGCGACATTACCATATTGCGGCGCGTTTTCACAATCCAGGGGTACGTCTTCATGACAAGCTGACGGTAACATGGCGGCGGAGCTTGAAGGGATCGCAACGCGGAGCTGCAACCGGCGGGGACCGCCGGACTCCGGACCGGCTGCGCGTTTTGGTTCCTGGTGCGGTAAAAGAAGCTTCCGTGGCGCGTAAAAAACTTGCAGAGGCTGGACTTGCGAGTGCTCTAGTGATGGCTTGGCTACAGTTTGAGGTAGCAGTGTTGCCGCCGCTCGGATGGGTAGCTCCACGCGGGGCAGTGGTGACACCCGACCGCGCCGCGCGAGCAATGGCGTGCTGCTGCTGCTTCGCGGTGCGACATCATCCGCGCTGCAGTTGGTGGTGGTAAGACCGCTGTTCGAAGTTTCCGATATGCTGTTGCTGCTAGTGCTCCCGCAAGAGCTGTCTAGGAAATCAAGGGCACTGATGCTGCTGGTATTGCTGCTGCTAAGTGAAGGATTCGTGGTGGTTAGCATGCCGGGCTATGCGCTCGTGGGCTTCGGTGTGGCAAGGAGGCTGTTGGAAGGGAGGGCTATCTGGGGTGTGTGGCGAATTCAGAGGTAAAGCGCAGGCTGCGACTGCAAGGATTCTGCGAGGCTGT